CAAAGCTTTTCAGGCTTTGTGCCTGTTTGGGGTTTTCACACAGAGTTGCAGCTTTTGTGAGAGCTGTTACTCCAAGCTGAAGGTTTGTGTTTGCTCCCTCCTGGCTCAGCTCAGCATCACCTCACACCAGCTGGGACTCCACACTGGATTTGTAGGATGGAGGTGCCATAAGGACGATTCTGTGTGGCTTTCCTCCAGCACAGGGACTTGGAGGAATCCAGAAAGAGAAAACAAAAGGAAAAAACTCTGTTAATTCATAAATCCTAATGTTTGAAAGAGGGAAATTTCAGGTAAAGATAAATGGAAAAAATCCTGGTTGTGAGTGTGGGGAGGTGCCCAGAGCAGCTGTGGCTGCCCCTGGATCCCTGGCAGTGCCCAAGGCCAGGCTGGACAGGGCTGGGAGCACCTGGGACAGGGGAAGGTGTCCCTGCCATGGCAGGGGCTGATGCTCTTTAGGGTCTCTCCATCCCAAACCATCCTGGGATTCCATAATTCCATGTGCTTCCCTTTGAGTCCAATGTCTCAGTGCACACCTGGTCCTCCAGGGGCTCCCTGGAATGAGAGCTGTGATAAATAAATAAATTTATTTTTTTATTGTCCTGGGGGAGCTGGCCCAGGCAGTGGCCAAACGAGACTCTGAGCCTGGAACAGGGAATGTGGGGAGGCAGGGAGGAGGTTGTGGTTGTGTCTGAAAAGCCATCAGTGGCAGGGGAGCTGTGAACAAGAGACAGTTCTGCTTTTCCAGGATAGGAATGTGGGTCAGCAAACGAAAATAACAGCAGCAGCTGAAAGCAAACCGTGCTGTGTGACTGCTGAGAGATTTCAGCAAAGCTGTAAAACAGCTCCTGCCAGCAATTTGGGAACTGTGGGATTTTAGCTTTCTATTTTTTTTACCAGGAGGGTGATCAGATAGAGGAGCAGCAGCTCCCAGCTGTGGAATCTCCATTGCTGGAGACGCTCAGAGGAAGATTGAACAGCCCTGAGCATCAGGGGGAGCTGGGGTGGGGAACTGGGGTAAAGGAGCTTAAAGCTCATCCCATCCCACCCCTGCCATGGCAGGGACACCTCTCCCTGTCCCAGGGACACCTCTCCCTGTCCCAGGGACACCTCCCACTGTCCCAGGCTGCTCCAAGCTCCAGCCTGGCCTGGGCACTGCCAGGGATCCAGGGGCAGCCACAGCTGCTCTGGGCACCCTGTGCTAGAGCTTCATCATGATAGGAATGATTTATTGGTAGGAATCATGATAGGAGAAATTATAGGAATGATTTATTGATAGGAATCATGATAGGAGACGTGATAGGAATCATTTATTGATAGGAATCGTGATAGGAAAAATGATAGGAATGATTTATTGATAGGAATCATATAGGAGAAATTATAGGAATGACTTATTGGTAGGAATCATTTATTGATAGGAATCGTGATAGGAAAAATTACAGGAATTATTTCTTGATAGGAATCACAATAGGAAAAATGCTAGGAATCATTTCTTGATAGGAATCATTATAGGAATCATTTCTTGATAGGAATCGTGATAGGAAAAATTACAGGAATGATTTCTTGATAGGTATCATGATAGGAAAAATGATAGGAATGATTTATTGATAGGAATTGTGATAGGAAAAATGCTAGGAATCATTTCTTGATAGGAATCATGATAGGAAAAGTGATAGGAATAATTTCTTGATAGGAATCATTAAAGGAATCATTTCTTGATAGGAATCATGATAGGAAAAATGCTAGGAGCGATTTCTTGATAGGAATAATGATAAGAATAATTTCCTGCAGTGCTGCTCTTGGAAGCTGTTGGGACATGCCAAGAATTGTGATTTTCCCCATCAGGAGCAGGAGTGGTGAGGACAGGGACGGCGATGGAGGCACTGGCAGCACAGTGCCAGCAGTGTGGGGAGGAGCTGCTGCTGGCTGTGCCTGGAGGGATCCATGGGGTGGCAGATGGGAACGTCCTTCCCTGGCTCCTTGAAGCCCCTGGCCCTGGCAGTGCTGCCCTGGGGCTGCTGACTCAGCTCAGGGCACAGCAGCTCCGACCAAATGCCTTTCAAACATCTGCCAGGGCTTCTCCTCTGCCTGGGGGAGCAGGCAAACTGAAAAGTCTCCTAAATAATTCTTGCGGCCTAATGAACAAATTTGATTAAGGTTTGGCAGCTTTGCCTAATATTCCCTGTAACTAGGAAATGGTGCCAGTTCTCTGCTCTGAGAACAGCCTCGTAATTAAACCGTGAATGAGAGAAATGTCCTGATGAACACAGGACAAATGAATATTAAACCCCAAAGCTCTCCTTCTGTAATCCCTGGGGGATGGGGCAGGGTTGTGTGTCCTGGGATGTCAAGAGTCTGTGGGAGATGGAGCCTGAGTTGTGGCCCCTCAAGTAGGGATGGTCTCTACTCAGTTTTCTGAATAATAATAATAATAATAATAATAATAATAATAATAATATCATGGAATGGTTTAGGTTGGAGAGACCTTAAAGCCCATCCAGTGCCACCCCTGCCATGGCAGGGACACTGCCAGGGATCCAGGGGCAGCCACAGCTGCTCTGGGGATTCTATTCTAGGGCCTGCCCACCCTCCCAGGGAGCAATTCCTTCCCAATATTCCATTTGACCTTACCCTGTGGCAGTGGGAAGCCATTCCCTGTGTCCTGTCCTGGTTTTTATTCACCTTCTAGTAAGCAACATGAAATAACCTGAAATTCATGCTGTCACTGGTTCAGAAATGTGGGAGCTGCTGGAGTTCAGATCCTGACCCTCTGGGTGTTGCAGGATTTGAGGAGCACTCCCTGATGCTGGGAATTCTTGTCATGGGTGCTGCAACCCCTCATCAGGCAGAGGTTTAATGTTGGTGCTGAATTAGCTGAAATAATTCATGACAGCAGCTTTTACCACTGGAAGTCACCTTGATGTGGGGGATATTTGAGACTGATAGGACTCCAAACGAAGCAGTTCTGGGAGCAGAGAGAAGGGAATGGGCAGGAGTTGTGTTTCAGGAGAGGGAACTGCTGACAACTGCTGCTGCTGGCATTGCTGTGCATGGACCTGACAGGTGAAACCAGGAGAAGAGAAAGGGTTATTGAAATGCATGGGAGGAATCAGAGAGCAGCCAATACAGATCAGCTGCAATAAAAACAGGTTTTCCAGGTGAACAGACACAATTCCCAAGGATTTTGCAGTAAAGCAGGTGTTCAGCCTCTACATTTTGCTGATTTTCCTTCACAACTCTCTCGTGTGCCCAGGATGCTCAGCCAGTGCTGCAAAACTGGAAGGCCAGATGGGCAGGAAGGGGTTAAACCAATTCAGGGGAAAAAGGCTTATCCTGAGCTTACCCTGGAGTCAGAACACAAAAACAACACCCCATACTCTGGTGGGAGGGAGGCACGGGGTGATTTTATTTTCCTGGCTGGTACCAGGACTGAGACATCCTCTGAGACACTCCTGTCAAGTGTGGCAGGCAGGAAAGCAGGGAACAGAAACTGCAATTTCCAAAAGATGTGGAGAACAGGCTGTTTACTGCTGGAATCCTTAGCCTGGCCTTGTCACAATCTGTTCAGGGTTATAAAAAGCAGCGTCCAACACGGATAAGGCTGGATTTGAATCCCCAGATGACAGGGGAGATGCTGCAGGAATTCGTGCTGGGCTCTTGGCACAGGATGCTGGCAGGATCCAGCCCAGGGCAGGGTGCTTGTGCAGCTGCACCCTGGGGAAGGAGGGCTTGCAAGGGATTTGTAGGGAAGCTGCTGCTGGCTGCTGTGGGATTTCAGGGATTTGGGGAGAAAACGTGGGGAAACCGCTCCTCAATGAAGGATTTGTTGGGTTGGAGAGCAGTGCTGGGGCTGGTCTGGGTTCTGGCTTTGCAGAGGACACAAGGAGGAGGTGCTGCTCTCCTGCCCCTCAGGGAACAGCCTGGGTGTGTTCCCTGTCCCCAGGCAGTGTGACAATGGCCAGAAGAAACAATGGCACTTCTTGGAACTGGCTCTGAGCTCCGTGCTGTAACACAGCTGCAGTGAGGGGTCAGTGTCTGCCAGAATGGGATCCCCATGGTCCTGCTCTTGTGGGAATCCTGGAGTGGTTTGGATGGAAAGAGGCATTGAGGACCATCCCATCCCATCCCACCCCACCCCTGCCATGGCAGGGACACCTCCCACTGTCCCAGGTGATCCAAACCCCAATGTCCAGCCTGGCCTTGGGCACTGCCAGGGATCCAGGGGCAGCCACAGCTGAAGAATTCCCTCTTAATAAACAATCTAAATGTACCCTCCTTCAGCTAAAGCCATTCCCTGTGTCCTGTCCCTCCATCCCTGTCCCCAGTCCCTCTCCAGCTCTCCTGGAGCCCCTCCAGGCCCTGCCAGGGGCTCTGAGCTCTCCCTGGAGCTTCTCCTCTCCAGATGAACATTCCCAGCTCTCCCAGCCTGGCTCCAGCCCTGCAGCAGCTCCGGGGCCTCTCTGGATCTGTCCAGCAGCTCCAGCTCCTTGTGCTGTTGGATCAGGGCTGGCACCTGTGATGTGTGTGACCTTTCCTGGTGCTCCCTTTGGCTGCTCCCTGAGGGCTCCAGGTGTGGATGTGGGCAGAGGAAAGGTTGAGCAGGAGCAGCTGTAACAATGGGGATAGCTGGGAGCAGAGCCCCACTCCAGGATAAGTGTAAAACCTGGACTTCACCATGAACGTTCCAACAATTTCTTGTAACAACTTAAAGATGAAATTTGCTATTTAAAGTAAACCACAGGTTTCCTTCCTCTGCTGGCTGGCTTTTCCCACTGGGATAATGTGAGAAATTGGAATCTAACAGCCCCTGGATGAACCTGTCCTTTTACAGGGAAAATCTTTCTTCCTGCAGGTATTTTGGGGTTCAGGAACTTTTCCACTAACACCAACCTGTGCTGTGTCAGTTCTGTCTCCTGCTGCTGCTGTGTTGAATAACAGCAAACTAAAAAACATATCTTAAAAAAAAAAAAGCTTAAACTCACAGATGTGCCTTCCTTCCCCAGGCAAGGCAGAGGAGCCCAAAGCAGCCGAGGCCGTGAGTGGGAACGACATCTCAGCTCCCCCCAACAAGGAGCTGCCCCCCAGCCCCGAGAAGAAGACCAAGGTAGGAGCTGTTCCCTGCTCCCATCCCTGCTCCCAGGGCTTTCATTTATTTCCCAGCTTTTCTGCTTCCTCAGCTGTGCCAGCCACACTTCTGTTTTCTGAGCTGCCCCTGCAGCAAACCCGTCCAGTTCGGAGCTGCCCGTGGCAAACTGTGATCAAAGTGTGCAAAATCCATTTCAGTGAGTTCCTGCCTGCTGCAGTGACTGTAGCAGTAGTAAACACGGAGTAAACGTGTGGTAACCCCTGTGCTCAGCCATACTCTGTGAGTGTTTCCCAGCCCATTTCAGAGCCCTGCTCAGCCCCTCTGGCTTTGGAGCTGTGCTCAGGAGCTCCCAGCACTCAGCAGGGTCCCCCCAGTGTCCCCAGCAGGGCTGGGGGGCAGGGGCTCTGTCCCCTCGAGGCCCTGCCCGTGTGACCATGGGAGCTGATCCCAGGGGATTTGGAGCTGCAATCCCTGCGTGCCCATAATTGGAAAGCCACGGCCGTGGATTGCACGTAGCCCTGGATGCCAGGAGCACCCAATTACTAATCCAGCTTTACCAGCCATTCCTTCTGTTGCTTTCCATGCTGCTGAAATAAATCTGTTGGTTTGGAATTGAATGGCAGAACGCCCCCAGCTTCAGAGGCTGCTGCATTTTGGTCTTTGTTGCACTCAGAAAACAGAAAATTATTATTATTATTATTATTATTATTATTATTATTATTATTATTATTATTATTATTTTCATTTAAAATATCACTTTTCTGTTGTTGCAGCTCAGTGTTTTGGTTTACAATGCGCTATTTTTTGTTGTATTTCTTTGGTTTTATCCTGGATTTTGCTTTTTGGCCCAACCCTAAAGCCTGCTGCATCCTCCTCCTCTGCCAAGGCGGCGGCAGCCAAGGCCAAGCCCTCGGGCAGCACCAGCCCCAAGCGGCCCAGCTCGGCCACCCCGGGCACAAACAAAAAGCCCACGAGCCCGAGTGCAGCTCCTGCTCCAGGCAGCGCCTCCAAACGCCCCGGCACCAGCAGCACCCGTCCCTCCACCCTCACTCCAAAAGAGACTAAACCAAAGGTAAGAACTGCCTGGCTCTGGGGGCACCAGGGCTCGCTGCAGGGCAGGCTGCCAGCCCTCAGCCACGGGGCAGGGCAGAATTGCTGGGCTAGGTGAGATCAGGAGGGGCACTCAGTGTCCCTGGCACAGAGGAGAGTTAAACCTGAGTGTAGTGCTGAGATCGTCCTGATGAGCTGCCATGAGTCAGGGATCCCAGGCTGGGTTGGGTTGGGAGGGACCTTAAAGCCCATCCCATCCCATTCCATCCCCATCCCATCCCATCCCATCCCCATTCCCATCCCATCCCATCCCCATCCCCATTCCCATCCCATCCCATCTCATTCCATCCCCATCCCATTCCATCCCCATCCCATCCCCATTCCCATCCCATCCCATCCCATCCCATCCCATCCCCATTCCCATCCCATCCCATCCCCATCCCCATTCCCATCCCATCCCATCCCATTCCATCCCCATCCCATCCCCATTCCCATCCCATCCCATCCCCATCCCGTTCCCATTCCCATCCCATCCCATCCCATCCCATCCCATCCCATCCCATCCCCATTCCCTTCCCCATTCCTATCTCCATCTCCATTCCCATTCCATCCCATCCCGTTCCCATTCCCATCCCATCCCCATTCCCATCCCATCCCATCCCATTCCATCCCATCCCATCCCCATTCCCATCCCATCCCATCCCCATTCCCTTCCCCATTCCCATCCCATCCCATCTCATCCCATCCCATCCCCATTCCCTTCCCCATTCCCATCTCCATCTCCATTCCCATTCCATCCCATCCCGTTCCCATTCCCATCCCATCCCCATTCCCATCCCATCCCATCCCCTTCCATCCCATCCCATCCCATCCCTGCCATGGCAGGGACACCTCCCACTATCCCAGAGTGATCCAAGCCCTGTCCAACCTGGCCTTGGATTCCAGGGATCCAGGGAACACCCACAGCTTCTCTGGGAATTCCATCCCAGTCCCTCCCCACCCTCCCAGCCAGGAATTCTTTCTGTGTACAACTCCTAAATGCAGACAAGAACATGGGAAGCCTGACTAGGGACATCTGATATGAATATTGAAGAAAAACAAATCCATGTGAACACTCCTTATTTCCCACCAATGGTTATTTTATGATGTGTGGTCACTGCAGAACTGCACAGAGAGGATTGATAACACTTAAAAAACTCTGGAAACGTGTAAATCCCCAAAAGAGAGGATTCATGGACAGTGTTGCATCTTCCAGATAAGCAGGGAATCCCTGTGTGTCAGAAGTGGGAGGTGTCCCTTGAATGATCCCTAAGTTAACTTGTGATCTGAGAGAGTAGGGGAACTCAAGTTTAAAAGGGAACATCAAATCCATTTCAGAAGCTTTCACTGATGGCTGAACACCACCATTCCTGCTGTATTAAGCTCAAGTTACTGCATTTGAGTGTCTTTAGAAGTAACTAAAAATAGCAGAAGGCAAATGAAAGCCCAGGTGTAAAACTGTACTCTTCTCTGAGCTGGTGACTTTGGTTTAGTTCAAGTTTTTGTATCTTTTTGATAAAATAATATTAATTCAGTATTTTCATACCTCAGAGATCAGGCAGTTGACAAACAAGTGCCTGAGCAGGGACAGCAGGAAAGAGTTTTCCCAGTGAGGGATGATCTGTGGACTCCTGATTCTCATGTCCCCACTGTTAAAACAAATTCCAGCTTAGGGAGCATTGGTGCTCCTGGAGGATGGGAATCTCTCCCAGGAGCATTGCTGGTGTTCTGCTGGCTCCATTTGATCCAGAAATCAAAACCTGCTCCCCAGCAGGACAGGCCCCCCCACACACCAGAGCTGAGCCAGCCCTGGCTGGGAGCTGCTCCTCCGCAGCGTCCGTGCTCCGTGTCCTGCCCTCCACACCACCGCTCGCTTCTGCACGTCTCAATTATATTTTAATTGCATTATAACCTTTCAGCAGTGCCAGGCTTCATTAAGTGCTGGGGCATTTCAGGGATTCCTGTTCCTTCCAGCCCCTCCTGGGTCGGGCTCTGCCGGGGCCGCTCTGACGCCGCTCGCTCCCTTGCAGGTCGCGGATGCGAAGCCCGCGGAGAAGAAAACCTCCCTGTCCAAGCCTCCATCCTCCACCACCCCCAAAACTCCTTCCAGGAGCTCCTCTGCTGCTCCCCGGACCACGGCGCCGTCCCCGGTGACGGCAGCGGCCGCTGCCAAAACCACGGCGCCCACTCCTCCCAAGAGGCCGACGTGTGAGTGCTGCCCCTTCCCTGGGGAACCCATCCTGCAGCACCTGCAGCCTCCTGCCTGGGCACACCGGGGGCTCTGCACAGCTCCTGGCACAGGGCACAGCTGGGGAACAGGGACAGGAGCAGAGGGAACGGCCTCAGGCTGGGCAGGGCACGCTCGGCTGGATACTGGGAATGTTCCTCCTGGAAAAGGCTCTCCAGCCCTGGCACAGCTGGTGGAGGTTCAGGTGGATATTATTGGGAATGTTCCTCCTGGAAAAGGCTCTCCAGCCCTGGCCCAGCTGCTGGAGGTTCATGTGGATATTGGGAACGTTCCCCCTGGAAAAGGCTCTCCAGCACTGGCCCAGCTGCTGGAGGTTCAGGTGGATATTATTGGGAATGTTCCTGCTGGAAAAGGCTCTCCAGCCCTGGCACAGCTGGTGGAGGTTCAGGTGGATATTATTGGGAATGTTCCCCCTGGAAAAGGCTCTCCAGCACTGGCCCAGCTGCTGGAGGTTCAGGTGGATATTGGGAACGTTCCCCCTGGAAAAGGCTCTCCAGCCCTGGCACAGCTGGTGGAGGTTCAGGTGGATATTATTGGGAATGTTCCTGCTGGAAAAGGCTCTCCAGCCCTGGCACAGCTGGTGGAGGTTCAGGTGGATATTATTGGGAATGTTCCTCCTGGAAAAGGCTCTCCAGCCCTGGCACAGCTGTGGAGTCCTCACCTCTGGAAGTGTTCAGAAGCCACTCCATCTTTGCCTGGAGTCTGACAGTGGCTTAAGTGTTCTTCTCTCCAGGGCTTCCTCTTCCAGTTCCCTTCAGGGCCAACCTCCATCAACTGTGTGTAATCCAGGGTTAATGCAATTACTGGACACACTTGATTTAAGAGTGGGCATTCCATTCCTTCTATATTTTGCCATAGGAACAGAATAAACACTAAATAAAAGTTCAAAAAAGCAAATCTTCAGAAGAGGACTTGAAACACCTGAACTGGTGTGGGAAATCCAAAAGGGTTGAGCAGAAGTGCTGGATTTTTAGTAGAGCAGGAAGAATTTGGAGCTGAAATCACATCAGCTTCGTCCAAAAACTGTGTCCCACTCGTGCTGCTGCTAAAGAGGGAACTTCCCATGAGTTCCACAGGAAACCTGAGCAGTGTTTTAGCTAAGCTAACACTGTTCTCACTCCTCTTAATGGAACTTGAGAGATTTAACATTAGATAAGATTATAGTCCAAGTCTTCTCCAGTCTTTTCAAATGACTGGCCTCAGTGGCAAAATTTGTCAATTAAAGTGTAAAATGGCACAGACTGGTTTGAATCCCAAAGCATGGATTCCTATCCCAGCTTTCCCAAAAAAATTGTCATGTTTTAGCTGTGCTGAGATGGATTTGGCCTGATGGACATCCCAGACTTTATGTTCTGGGGGAAAATCTAATTAATCAAGTGTAGAGAAGGTGTTGCACATTCCAAGAGCCACATATCCTGTCTGATAAACTCATTTTGTGAGTCAAACTCATTTTGTGTGGTCTTGGAGGCAAATGGGAGCGCGGGAATGCAGGATCTGTTCTAATGAGTTGGGCTCATTCCTGCTGCCCCACAAACAAAGCAATGTTTGCTGCTGAAAGGAGATGGAGGCAGCGATGCAGAGCTGCAGGGAGCTGTTCCAAGAGGCAGGAGGTGCAGGGCAAGGGGCTGTGGCACCAGGAGCGTGGTGGGACCTGCCAGGGCACAGGCAGGGCCCTGGGGTGAGGGAGGATGAGGTCAGCTGGAGGGGCTCCATGGGGAGGCTGAGAAATCTGGATCTGGAAATGCACAGGGACGGCAGGAATGGGAAGGGCAGGGGGTCCTGTGCTGGGTGAGGTGGAAGCAGGGCTGGGACAGAGGGTGGAAGGTGCCCTGGGGCCTCAAGGCAACCACGAGCCCAATGCTGAGAGTTGAGTTTGGTTTGGTGTAGTTGGGTTGGGTTTGGTTTGGTGTAGTTGGGTTTGGTTCTGTTGGGTTTGGTTCAGTTGGGTTGATTTGATTGAGTTTGGTTTGGTTGGGTTTGGTTCGGTTGGATTTGGTTTCATTGGGTTTGGTTTAGTTTGGTTTTATTTGATTGGTTGTTGGTTGGTTGGGTTGGGTTTCGTTTGGTTGGGTTGCGTTTGGTGTGGTTTGGTTGGGTTGGGTTGGGTTTGGTGTGGTTGGGTTGGGTTGGGTTTGGTGTGGTTTGGTTGGGTTGGGTTGGGTTTGGTGTGGTTGGGTTGGGTTGGGTTTGGTGTGGTTGGGTTGGGTTGGGTTTGGTGTGGTTTGGTTGGGTTGGGTTGGGTTTGGTGTGGTTTGGTTGGGTTGGGTTTGGTGTGGTTTGGCTGGGTTGGGTTGGGTTGGGTTTGGTGTGGTTGGGTTGGGTTGGGTTTGGTGTGGTTTGAGTGAGATGTGGGTGGGAACACCTGGAGCTCTTGGGCTCACAGCTCTGGGGTCACAGCTGCCATCAATTTCAGTCATTGTCTCACACAAAATGTGTGTGTAAAGGCCAGGTTTGACATTATAGAGTCCCACTTTTTCAGGTATTTTCAGGTCAGTCATTTTCTCTGCTAAAGGAGAGCCGAGGGTTATGTGGGGCTTAATGTTTTGATTTTTAATTTTATTTCTTCATTAGTTTTTGCCCCCCTCCCTGTGGAAGTGACTTTAATGTTTGTACAAGACCACGCTCAGCCCTTCAGATCAGGCACAGATCAAAGTCTGTCACACAGACCCTTGTCCCAGGGGCTCTCTCTGGGTTTGCAGCACCTCATGTTCACACAGAGAGAAGTGTTCAGCATTTGGCTCCCCACTGACACCAGCAGACAGAACATCTCTGTATATTAATCTAACATAATATTCCTCTGCCTTTTACACAAACCTAAGGCTGTTCTGTCTGTGCAGTTTCCCCAATTAAAGTTGTGGTCTCGAGGAATGAAATTAGGTTGATTTGCCAGCCCCTTGTTTGAAGTGTTTGCTATTAATTATGTATCCATCCTTTAGGCCTTATTAAATTATCCAAATGGGTTTCACCTCATTAGCTGGAATCTTATCTGGGGTGTTTAATTGAATGCTTTTAGCAAAGTCAGGGTGGAATGATCCAGACTAACTTGGCCTGTAGTTATCTGCCTCTTCCCCTTGGTCTTTTTGGTATTGATATTCCATAAAGGACCCTGACAGCTGCTGGAGTGTATCTAAAAATCTGAGACTTAATGGAAATTAAATATTAAAAAATGAGGGTTTTCCTAATTTCTAAATTGGGTCTTTTCAATTTATTATTTCTTTTCAATGTTGCCTTCCTTTGGCTGTTGAAATGAAGCAGAATTTACCCAAACGTGCTCATCACTGATAGTAAAACCCCTCCAATTTCATTATCAAAGAGTTCCTTAAAATAAAGTCCCATTTCTATTTTTCAGTCTATGGTTTTTGCCTTGATCAATTTGGTGTTTGGTTTTCTCCTGCTTGGGGAAGTGTGGCTGCATCCCTGGTTTACAGTGTCCTCTGTGCAGTGTAATCAGGTCATGATCGTTGGGCTTTGCCCAAAGGCAGCTCAGTTTAGGGATTGATTTTTGGGTTTATACAATTAAAATAGCAGCCAAAATATGTGCAATAACTCCTGTGCAAGAAAATTGGCACAGAGTAGGACTGGTCTGGCAATGAGAGCAAGGTTGGACAAGGACAAATGTGGGGCTGCTTTTGTTCCTTTTTAAAGAAAGGAAATGTTTTGGGGTAGGGTTTTTTGCTTGGTTGGGTTTTTTGTTTAAGAAATGAAGATGGGGCAGGATTAAAATACTCCCAGTGAGTGCTGTCAGACCCAGGAAGGTAATGTGAGGAGAAAGAAAATGCAGCCCATCCCCAGGTGTGTGGTGTCACAGAGCAAGGATCCTGTGACAAGGATTGGTGCTTTGGCTGCCAAACACGAGGGGTTCTGGTGGCAGCAGGAGCTGCCCAGGCTGCAGGTGCTCTCACCCACAGAGCAGTGAATCCTGGGCTGGTTCCAGGCTGGAACGTGCAGGGATCTCCTCTGACTGCTGTGTTTGTGTTGGCAGCCATCAAGACGGACGCGAAGCCGGCCGATGCCAAGAAACCTCCTGCCAAGTCTCCCTCAGGTAACCTCACCTCCCTCCTCACCTGGGCTCTGGGAAATCCAGCTGGGGAAACCCTGCAAGGCCATGGAGCCCCTGTCCCCAGCACTGACCATGTCCCCAGTGCCACATCCACGTGGGTGTCACATCCCTCCAGCGATGGGGAACCACCACTGCCCTGGGCAGCTGGGCCAGGGCTGGAGAGCCCTTTCCAGGAAGGAATATTCCCAATATCCACCTGAACCTCTCCTGGCACAGCCTGAGGCTGTTTCCTCAATCTGAATCCAATCCCCTTTGTCTGGGGCTGGGGTCATTACGGGGTCCCTGTACATCTCTGGGAACGGGGATGTCCCAGCTGGGCTGGATGGGACATGGAGCACCTGGGACAGTGAAGGTGTCCCTGCCACGGCAGGGCTGGGATGAGCTGATCTTTGGGGTTCCAGCCCGTGCTGGGCTATGTGACTAAGGCAGTTCTGTGTGTCTGAGGCAGTTCTGTGTGACTGAGGCAGTTCTGACTGAGGCAGTTCTGTGACTGAGGCAGTTCTGTGTGTCCAAGGCAGTTCTGTGTGTCTGAGGCAGTTCTGTGTGACTGAGGCAGTTCTGTGTGTCTCAGGCAGTTCTGACTGAGGCAGTTCTGTGTGACTGAGGCAGTTCGGTGTGCCTGAGGCAGTTCTGTGTGTCCGAGGCAGTTCTGTGTGTCCGAGGCAGTTCTGTGTGAGGCAGTTCTGTGTGTCTGAGGCAGTTCTGTGTGAGGCAGTTCTGTGTGTCCGAGGCAGTTCTGTGTGTCCGAGGCAGTTCTGTGTGAGGCAGTTCTGTGTGTCCGAGGCAGTTCTGTGTGTCTCAGGCAGTTCTGTGTGTCTCAGGCAGTTCTGACTGAGGCAGTTCTGACTGAGGCAGTTCTGTGTGTCTGAGGCAGTTCTGTGTGTCTCAGGCAGTTCTGAGTGAGGCAGTTCGGTGTGTCTCAGGCAGTTCTGTGTGTCCGAGGCCGTTCTGTGTGTCTCAGGCAGTTCTGTGTGTCCAAGGCAGTTCTGACTGAGGCAGTTCTGTGTGTCCGAGGCAGTTCTGTACCTGACCCTGCTCTCCCCTTCCCTCCCCGCGATCCCACAGGCGATTCCAGCCGCCCCAAGAGCGCCCCGGGCAGCACCACCAAGAGCAGCGCCACCACTCCTTCCACCGCGGCCTCCAGCGTGCCGGGCACGGCCCCCAGCCGGCCCAAGCCCAAAGCCGCCACCCCCAAAGCCGCCACGGCCTCCACGGTGTCCGCGGACGCCAAGAGAGCCGCGGGCAAGGCCGCAGCGGGCAGCAAAGGCAGCACCGGGCCCGCGGCCCGAGCCCCGCGCCCCGCCAGCGCCGCCGGGCCCGACCTGCGCCACGTCCGCTCCAAGGTGGGCTCCACCGACAACATCAAACACCAGCCCGGCGGGGGAAAGGTGAGCCCTGCCCTCCCTGCCCGCCCTGCCTGCTCCGGGCTCTGTGCCGGCTCTGCGGGATGGTGGCTGTGTCCTCACTGCTCTCTCGGCTCCTCGCTGGGTCCTGCTTGGGCAGAGCGCGGGAGCCACCCCAGAGCCAGCCCTGCTCCACAGCAGAACCCAGAGCTCCGCTGCTGCTGCTCTCCTGCCCCAAGCCTGGCACAGAAACACCCTCGGTCCTGTCCATAGTCCTGCCCTTTGCCCTTGGGTGGAGGAACTGCCTGCTGAATGGTACAGAAGGTGGAATAGTGCACTAGGATGAGGGAATTCTGGATTGCACAGCACCTTTCCCATGCCCAGCTCCTCAGGCCCAAAGCTGACATGTAATGAGTCTTTTGGGACCCCCCATAGTGGGCATGAGGAGAGGGCAGTGCTGGAAAACCATTACCAGAGAAAAAACTTGGGGCTCTCACTGCCTCCTAAAGCCCTTAGGGGGCACTTCCACCATCAGCACCTCTCATGGAGAGGACAAAGATGGGATCCACCTGCAGCCCCTGCTGAACAAATGGCCAAGCAGAACCACAGAGCCCTGCTTAGCTGTTGTGTAAGCCCAGCCTTGGCCTGGCCACGTGTGTCAGCAGCAGCCAGAGGGCTCTGCCTCCCCCCCAGTGGGACACAGATCTTTCCATTCTCTTTGCTGCAGCTCTGTGGTGCTGAATAACCCGGCCCAGAACTTTAATCTGCTGCCAAGGGAGCACGTTCCATGCTGGGAGAGCTTTAATCTGCTCTCAGGCACATTAAAGTCAAGGGCACTCCTGGCTGGGTGCTGTGTGTCCCAGACAGCATCGATGCAGCATGGATTTATCCTCAGAGGCAGCAGCTCCTGGCTGGGCAGCAGCACAGCACAGCCCTCGTTCTGTCAGCTCAGGGGACTTGCATTTGCATTTAATTGCACTGCCCTTCATTTTCTAAATATTTTCATAGAGTTATTAAATCCTAACAATTGCCTTGTTAAGCAAATTGTCCTTTTTGTAGTCCTGTCCACACTGAGCTGTTTTTAGAGTCTGAGAATTATTGTAGTGTTGGGTTTTTTTGTTCACTGGTCTGTAGGTTAGTGAAACACAAGATTTATGCTGAGCCCTCCCCAAAAATGCAGGTCCTGCTGCACTTCTCTGCATCTAAACTAGCAAAAACAATAGATATCCTCAGGTAGTTGCTGAATTTTTATGAAACCTGTAAATTTTCCTTCAATTTTCTGCTCAGCTGGACTTTCTGGGTGCACCTGCCTTTGGGTAGATAAAAACTAAAGGAGCTGCTGAGATCCAAGGCTGAGTGCAGTGAGGCTGGGTGGGAATCTGAGCTGGGAGCTCAGGGTGTGTGTCCAGCAGAGCCCTCAGAGCCCCAGACCAGCCCTGGGTGTCTTCACCTCCAGACCTGCACCACGTCCTCCACGAGAAGGAGCTGCTCCTGCTCTGCTCTTGGGCTCCCCAGGGATTTGGTTGGATTTTTTTGGCAGCATCATTGTCCTGGGGTTGCCTGGATCCTGAGGAAGGGCACCAGGAGCTTTTTGAGAAGGGAATCCTTGCTCTGTGCCCCGGGCTGGGCACTGCTGTGCCCTTGGTGCCAGCGGTCCCGGCATGGGATGATCCTTGCCCTGGCAGTCAGAGCAGGCAGGGAGTTGTGCTGGGTCTCTGTGCAGCAGGTCTCTCGTGTTCCCGTGCTCCTGCCCAGGTTCTGCCTTTGCTGGTGAAATCATCCCTTTGTCTCCATCCAGGGGAAGGTAGAGAAAAGGCCAGAGTCAGCCGGCGCCGCGCCCAGCTCTGAGCCCAGCGCGGGCTCTAAGGTGGCTCCTAAAGTGGCAGCAAAAGAGGGGGTCCCCAAACAGCCCAATGGGAAAGTGAGTTGCTTTCACACTTTTCTCTGGGGGAGATGAAGGAAAACGTTTCCATTTTGAGTCACTGTCCCTCCTCTCCAGCTGTCCTGCTCTCTCCTGTCAGTGGCACTGTCCTTGCACAGACACCTCCCCTTCTCTCCCCTGCACCCTGAGATGTTCCCAGGGAAGCTCCTCCAGGGAGGGACCCTCTCCGCTGCTGCTGGAGAGGTTTGCAGAGCAGAGTCCTCCTGTTTCACTGCCAGGCTAATACAGGCTTAACTTGGAGTCAGAGGGTTTCCCTTAAACCAGTTCTCCACACACAGAACCAGTTTGTAACGAGGCAGAGGGGTTGAGTTCACAGCTGCTCCTTCTAGGAGTGCACAATATGGAGGAATTCACACCTTCCCTGCAATACTCCCAGCCCAGTTGTACCAAAACTCTGTAACTCCAAGCCTTAGGCCATCACCACTGGATGGGTTACTCCAAAGTCCAAGTGGATGGCATGAGGTGGGAGTGCCACAGATTAATTCCAGTATTACCAGGCAGGAATGGTCAGGAATGAGCAGGGTTTGTACGTGTATGGAGTCAGTGAAGCAGCCCACACTCCATGGCACAGGTATGTTCCCAGAGCTCCTGTTCCTGAGTCCAGGCTTTCTGACCTGGCTGAGGAGCTCTGGGAGCCTGCCCAGCTGAGAGTGTTGGGTGATCCCTGCTGTGCTCCAAGCTTGTCGCCTTGTGGGAGCCAGGATCCAGCTGGGCCTGCTTGTGCTGTGGTGAATAACTCAGCTCCAGACTAAACCTGTGTTGTAACTAACCTCTGTAAACACTGGTGCCTAACCCAGCTACTGCTGTGAGCAGAGCTCACCCAAACCTCTCCTCTTGCCTTAAAAATCACACACTCACTGAGGCTGGAGAAGCCCTGTGAGATCATGGAGTCCAGCCATCCCCAGCACTGCCAAACCACCTCCAGCCACGTTCTCGCACCCTTCATCTGAGTCAGTGTGAAGGAGAAACAATTTCATTAACCCGGGACTCATCTGAGGCCATTCAGCTGAAGGTGTGACCACCTTCAGTAGCAGAATGTTCCTCAGAGCCAGCTGTACTGCCCAGGGCTGTGGAGGGACATTGTCCAGGGCTGGAGCAGCTCACAGCGTGCTGGGAGTGCTGGCTCCCAGGGCTGCCTCTCCCTGCTCTGGCCAGATGTCCCTGGAAACCTCCCAGGAGCCTCCTGGGCCATGGACAGTCCCATCCCACCTGGCTCTCCCTGCTCCAGGGAGTTTCCATGCTCTGGGCAGTCCCATCCTGTCCCTCTGGGCTGGCTCTCCCTGCCCCAGGAGGGTTTCCATGCTCTGGGCAGTCCCATCCTGTCCCTCTGGGCTGGCTCTCCCTGCCCCAGGGGGTTTCCATGCCCTGGGCAGTCCCATCCTGTCCCTCTGGGCTGGCTCTCCCTGCCCCAGGAGGGTTTCCAGGCCCTGGGCAGCCCCAGCCCACCCCACCCCAGGGCTCTGCAGGGTCCCTGGGCACTCCCAGCCTGGCACTAACACTGTCTGTGCAGCCTCCTGTCCTTCACTGTCTCTCACTCTCTCCTTGGTGCCTTCCCCAGCTCTGGGCCCAGCTCCTCAGGGTCCCTGGTGCCCAGGAGCCCGGGTGCCCTGCAGAATGCCATCTCTAACCAGTCCTCTTCCCTTGTGTTGTCTCCGTTCTGTGACGTTCCAGGTCCAGATAGTCTCCAAAAAAGCGAACTACAGCCATGTTCAGTCCAAGTGTGGTTCCAAGGACAATATTAAGCATGTCCCTGGAGGTGGGAATGTAAGTATGGGTCTGGGCAAGCTGTGTGTCTGCTGACTGCTTCTCTGTGCTGTGCTGGGGGTGCCAGCCCCAGGAGTGCTGTGCTGCAGGCAGGAGCCGTGGCAGAGCTCCTGGGCACAGCCTGGAGGATTCCTGCCCTGCTCTGGGGCTGCCAGGCTGAGCTGTGGGGTTTGTTCCAGTGTTCAGCTGCTCCTGGGCTGTTCCTGCTCCCTGGGCTGTTCCTGCTCCCTGGGCTGTTCCTGCTCTGTGGGCTGGTCCTGCTCTGTGGGCTGGTCCTGCTCTGTGGAATGGTCCTGCTCTGTGGGCTGGTCCTGCTCCCTGGGCTGGTCCTGCTCTGTGGAATGGTCCTGCTCCCTGGGCTGGTCCTGCTCCCTGGGCTGGTCCTGCTCTGTGGAATGGTCCTGCTCTGTGGGCTGTTCCTGCTCCCTGGGCTGTTCCTGCTCTGTGGGCTGGTCCTGCTCTGTGGAATGGTCCTGCTCTGTGGGCTGGTCCTGCTCCCTGGGCTGTTCCTGCTCCCTGGGCTGGCTGTGACCCACACAGGGGTGAGGATGTGCCTGAGCCTGGGGCTGAGCTCGCCCCTGACCTGCCTGGAGCCTCCATCCCCAGAGCAGATCCATCATGGCCTGGCAGTGCCTGTAACTCTCCCCTGGCTCCCAGGGCCAGCTGGAGCCACACTCATTCACTCCTTGTTTCATAAAAGGTTCTTTGGAGCAGGCAAAGACTCTGGGACTTAACCTTTGAGCTGAGATTAATTTCTAAATTTAAAGGCTGCTGGTATCTCTGGCAGCAGGGCTGAGCTTATTAAAATAGAAAGTTAATCTGGTGGTGTCTGCAGCTTGGTTTGGGGTGTGGGGTGCTCCAGGTGTCTGCCAGGTAAGCCAGGTTCTCTGTCCAGCCCCTGGCAGGCTGGGAGAGCATGAGCAGGGTCTGGGGGCTCAGATTTGTGCTGCCCTGACAAACCTGGGCTGGGCTCTGGGCACAGGGCAGGTTCAGCAATGCAAAGTTTGGGTGGTTTCAAAGGCACTGAAATACCTGAGCCTAACAAAGTTTGTTCTGAGATGTTTAAATATCCTGGGTTCCCAAGGAGAGATGTCCATCTACCATATCTCTGAGGTGCCCAGTGACACAAACCCTGCTCAGGACCTGCCTGTGGAGCCAGCTGGGGCCACTCCTCCTGGAAAATCCATGTCCAGCTGCCTGAACCTCTCCAGGACTGATTTTTCCACAGATCTTTGCAAGTGGCAGCCAAATGTGGGTTCCTGACACCTGCTTCCCTGGAGGCTGGCTGCCAGGGTGGCCAGAGGTGCTGAAGTCACACCTGTGCCACTGAACCCAGGCTGCCTTCCCACATCCCTGCTCTGGGGATTTGGGATTTGTGGCTCTCTGCTGTTTCCATGATTTACACCGTGTTTCTGGGAGTGTTTCCCATGGAAATACTCCCACAGGATACCTGGGAATGCTGGCCTGGAGCCCTGGTGTCCATGGGAGCCCTCAGGGGGTTTGGGGCCCTGATTCTGTTCCTGCTGCCTGTTCCCCTGGTGCTGTCCCCAGCCTGTCCCAGAAGGGCCTTTGGCCCCCCTGTGCCAGCTCTGGAGCAGCTGCTGGCATTTCCCTGGCCATGCTCCCCAAGGGGCTGTATTTCATAAACCACCTCAGTGCTGCCACCTTACCTTGCTGAGCCTTCCAGGAGCCTCACAGGTGCCTTCCCTGCTCTTCCAGGCTGCAGAAATGGCGCTGGCATGTGGGGATCCTGCCTTGCCTGATGAACTGTGTCACTGAAGTGTCCTCCTGCTCATGAGTCACCATCCTGTCCTTCCCTCTGCACTGCCAGCCATTCCCAGCCCTGGGCACAGCTCTGTCCCTGCTTTCCTCTCCTCTCCTCCTCTCCCACACCCTCCTTTCACCACTGCAGTTTTGCTCCTTGCTCAGCTCCCTAAGCAGCTCTTTATTCTGCATTTTCTGAGCCAAAAACTCATTTCAGGCTCCAAATGCTCCCAGAGCAGCTCCAGGAGAGCATTGCCAGCCCTCCAGCACAGGCGGTGTGGACGTTTTTATTTTTATTTATTCATTTTTGTATCTTCCCCCTCCCTTTGGAGCACTGTGGTGTTAGTGACCTCTTCCAAGATGTTTCCTTGCTCAGGTAGTTGTGGTGATCACTTGTGATAGAATTCCCAGTGTTGGATTCCCAGCTGGGTCTGTCTGGAAGGTCTCTTCTGGTCTGTGCCTTGAGGTGGAGCTTGCAGGATCCTGTGGACAAGAGTGCTGTGGTTTAGAAACAATTCCTGGTGGAGCTTTAGGAGGGGATGGCCATGGGATGGTTTGGGTTGGGAAGGACTCAGGGATGACTGAGTGCCACCCCTGCCGTGGCAGGGACACCTTCCCTGTCCCAGGCTGCTGCCAGCCCTGTCCAGCCTGGCAGGGACACTCCAGGGTGGACACTGCTGTCCCACCCTGCCCTCTGCCCGTGGAGATCATTCCTGTCCATGCCCACATTCCCCAGGAGCTGTGCCCAAGAGCAGCAGCTGCAGTTGCTGCTCACCAGAAGCACAAACACAGTCCAGTTCCTGGGGAAAAGGGTTGGATGGTTTTTGTTTAGTATTTCCCTCTCTCAGAACCACTGAGGTTGGAAAAGATCCCCAAGACCATGGAGTCCAACCTCTGAGCAAGTTTTGTGTTCCAAGACAGCAGAGCAGAGTGGATTTCACAAAGTGCAGGCAATGTGTGGGTGAAGGAGGTTTGGGAAGGGAGTTTGGAGTGTCCCTGTGCTCCCCTGGCCTTTGGCTTGTCCTGCTTGGCTGCTCTGGGACGTGGTCAGGGACACACAAGCTGACAAGAGCTGACACCGAACTTCCCCACCTGAGCCAAACCCCCAAAGTTTATTTCTGGCTCCAGAGTCTGTGCTTGGCTCTCTGAGTGCAATCCCAAGGTGCAAACCCAGCTCCTGCTGAAGTGCTACCAACAGACCCTTCCCTGAGGGTGGGACAGTTTGTGTCTCAGGTCAGGAACCACAGCTGGTAACAAACAGCAGATTTCCAGGTGCATTCTGTGAAATAAATTTCATTTCAGCTCAGTTCTGAGCAAGCAAGGACTGGTGATTAAAGCTGTAGTAACTTTACTCCTGAGAAAACACAACCAGGGTGTGTGAGGGACCTTTGGAGGGTGTCCCTGAGCTGGGGATGTGGGACCTGGCAGGAGCTGGGCTGGGCTGTCCTGCTCCCCCTGCAGCATCCTGGGGCTCCTCCCTGGGCACAGAGCAGCAGGATCCCTGATTCCCTTGGAGGAGTTCTGGCAGATCCTCCTGAGAGCTCTCAGTAACCTCCCAGATCAGCTGCTGGTCTGGGAATTCTGCTCATATTGGAAAGGAAATCCTTGGGTTTGCTCTGTGACGTGACCTGGAGCAGAGCTGAGCCTGCAGCCCCCAGCTGGTGGCTGCTCTCACCCCTGGCCTTGTCCTGGAGAGGGGTGGGTTGCTGGAGCAGGGCATTCCATCAGGGCACCAGATCCCTGTGAGAATCCCAGGCTGCTGGGAGTGGAGGGACCTTAAATCCCACCCAGTGCCACCCCTGCCATGGCAGGGACACCTCCCCCTGTCCCAGGTGCTCCCAGCCCTGTCCAGCCTGGCCTTGGGCACTGCCAGGGATCCAGGGGCAGCCACAGCTGCTCTGGGAATCCCATCCCAGCCAGGAATTCCCAATTCCCAGTCTCCCATCCATCCCTGCCCTCTGGCAGTGGGAGCCATTCCCTGTGTCCTGTCCCTCCATCCTTGTCCCCAGTCCCTCTCCAGCTCTCCTGGAGCCCCTCCAGGCCCTGCCAGGGGCTCTGAGCTCTCCCTGGAGCTGCTCCTGCCCAGGCTGTGTGTGATGGTGCAGAGCAGAGCAGAGCTGGTGGCACAGCCCTGGCCTGCAGCTGGGCTCCCTGAGGTGGCCCCAGGCCATGCCCATGTCCCAGGCTGGGCAGGAGCCCTGTGGGCACCCTGGCAGCAGGGTTGGCTTTTATTGTCCTGTCGCAGGGCTGCTGTGTCCCATGGCTGTGCCCGAGCTCAGCCCTGGGATGGTTCTGTCCCTCTGTCCTGCTGTCTGTCCCAGCTGTGTCTCACTTTGGCTCTGGGTGACCCCAGGGCTGCAGTGGCACAGGAATTGCAGGCAGGATTCTGGCAATCTGCAGGAGGAGGGATGAGAGCAGGGACACAGGCTCACAGAGCACAGCCTGAGGTGCCCTCTGGCTCCAGGGCTTTCTCTGTGCTCAGCTGCTGCTTTTTGTCTCCCCAGGTGCAGATCCAGAACAAGAAAGTCGACCTCTCCAAAGTGTCCTCCAAGTGTGGATCTAAAGCAAATATCAAGCATAAGCCAGGTAGGAATTTTGCCATTTCCTCATTTATCTGTAAGTTTTGTCCCTTAAACACAGCCCTGGATTGGGACTGCAATAGTTTTAGGGGCTTGTTGCTTTCAGGGGATGCTCCCAGTGCTTCTGGAAATTTCTAGAAATGCTTCTTCCACAGTTCCTGGTGGTTTGATGAGCAGAGAGGGGGATTAGGAGATGTGGGACGTCCTCTTGCCTGTGAAGATAATCTACAGCTTTGGCTCATTTCTGCTTTTCCTGCTCATTTGAGAAGGAACACAGGGATGCTTCCACAGTCATTCCAGGAAGCTCCATCCATGCTCACAGAGGCTTTGGGGCACTCAGAACATCCCAGGATGGTCATGGGACATGGCAGGATAAAGGAAATACCCTGCAGTCCTTCAGAGCACACACCAGGCTCCTTTTAGCCTTGAGTCCACAGCAGCTCCTGCCTCACATGGAACCCTTCAGGGCCCAGGGTGGATTCTCTGGGATGGGTGTGGGAATTACCTGCTCCCTGCTGAGAACACAGCCTGAGTTCCTGGGAATCTCAGGTTTGTCCCACACTGTGCCCACCCCAAGGTGCTGGGGCTGGAGGCCCCTGGCTTGGCCTGAGGGATGGTCAGTTCAGTGTCCTGGAGCTGATGGTCAGTTCAGTGTCCTTGGGCTGATGGTCAGTTGTGTCCTGGAGCTGATGGTCATCTCAGTGCCCTTGGCTGCCCCTGGCCTCTGGGCACATTCTCCAGCCAGGAGCGCTGCTGCCAGCACGAGGGCCAGGGTTCAGTGCCCAGGCTGTGAGGGAGCCCCTCAGGCTGGGAGGGAGCCCCTCAGGGTGGGAGGGAGCCCCTCAGGGTGGGAGGGAGACCCTCAGGGTGGGAAGGAGCCCCTCAGGCTGTGAGGGAGCCCCTCAGGCAGGGAGGGAGACCCTCAGGGTGGGAGGGAGCCCCTCAGGCTGTGAGGGAGCCCCTCAGGCTGGGAAGGAGCCCCTCAGGCTGTGAGGGAGCCCCTCAGGCTGTGAGGGAGCCCCTCAGGCAGGGAGGGAGCCCCTCAGGGTGGGAGGGAGCCCCTCAGGCTGTGAGGGAGCCCCTCAGGCAGGGAGGGAGACCCTCAGGGTGGGAGGGAGCCCCTCAGGCAGGGAGGGAGCCCCTCAGGCTGGGAAGGAGCCCCTCAGGCTGTGAGGGAGCCCCTCAGGCAGGGAGGGAGCCCCTCAGGGTGGGAGGGAGCCCCTCAGGCCGCTCTGTGTCCCCCTGGCAGTGCCCTGCAGGCTGCCCAGGCTGCCAGGTCAGAGCAGGGCACTCCCTGGCAGGAGCCCCGGCTCCAGGGGCTCCCGGCCCTGGGAACGCGGTGCCACGGGCACGACCTCTGCCAGCTCAGTGCTGGGCAGTGACAATCCAGTAACGAGCTGGGGTGACAATCAGTGCCTTGTCCAGGCCTGATGGGAGCACTGCCACCCTGCCAGGGCTTCAGCTGTGGCACCAAATCTCTGCTTTGCACCATTGGCCGTGCCAGGCTTCCAGGGCAGAGCTGAGGCTTTAATGATGTCGCTGGGAGGCAGAGCTGTGCTCAGCAAGACTTGTGCTGGGCTCTGGAGAAGCTGCTGGGACGGGGACTGCAGCCAGGGAAAGGTGGGCCTGTCCATCCAGGAGGGTTGGAATCATCCTCAGGATCCAGGATTCCAATCTGTGGGATTGTGCGCTCATTTGTCAGTAAAGGATTTGTCAGTAAAGCACTGTGATCAGAGGGATGGAGCATTCCCCTGGGAGGAAAGGCTGAGAGAGCTGGGATTGCTCAGCCTGAGAAGGGAAGGTTTTGGGGTGACCTCACTGTGGCCTTCCAGGACCTGAAGGGAGCCAAGAAAGATGGGGAGAGATGACTTCCAAAGGCCTGGAGTGCCAGGACATGGGGAATGGCTCCCACTGCCAGAGGGCAGGGCTGGATGGGATACTGAGAATTAGGAATTGTTCCCTGGCAGGGTGGGCAGGCCCTGGCACAGGGTGCCCAGAGCAGCCGTGGCTGCCCCTGGATCCCTGGCAGTGCCCAGGCCAGGCTGGACAGGGCTGGGAGCAGCCTGGGACAGTGGGAGGTGTCTCTGACATGGCAGGGGTGGCACTGGAGGATCCTTAAGGTCCTTTCCAACCCAGCCCATTCTGGATTCTGTGATTAATGGGAATCCATCTATATCTAATTTATCTATTCTGTCTTAATCTATCTGTATCTGTATCTATGTCATCTATATCTATATATATCTATTTATAGGAATCTGTCTATATCTAATTCTGCAATCTATTCCATTCTGGAAAAACCTTGCTGAAATGCTCAGCTGTGTTTGTGCCCTCCACACTCCCTGCAGTGTTCCTGCAGGTGGGGTGTGCCAGGGGAGCTGCCCAGGCAGGCAGGGCTGGAGCAGCAGGGGAGGAGGGCAGGGACAGAGGAGCAGGAGGTGCCCTGGCACTGCTGGGAGCACAGGTGGCTGAGCTGGAGGGGCCTGGGCAGGGACAGGGATGGGACACAGCCTTGGAATGGCAGCAGTGAGGGACGGTGGGGGTGGCATTTCACGCCTCTGCTGGAGGAGGCAGCCTCAGGAGCAGATCCAGGGAGTTCTCTCCATCCTGTCTGTCTGGATGTGCAGCATTCCCCAGGGCCCTGTGTGCTGGCAGGGCTGGAAGTCACCAGCGTTGGTCTTGCAGAACTTTTCCTGAGGCAGGGACTGTGGAACTTGTCCTGTCCCTCCTCCGAGGGCTCCCCAGCGGCTCCTGGGTGGGACTGCTGGGACCTTCCCCAAACTCAGCCCTGCTCCCTGTCCCTGCAGGCGGAGGAGACGTCAAAATCGAGAACCAGAAGCTGAACTTCAAGGAGAAGGCCCAGGCCAAGGTGGGATCTCTGGACAACGTGGGACACTCACCGGCCGGAGGGGCCGTCAAGGTGAGGGCAGGGACCTGGCACAGCCAGGGAAGGGCTCTGATCCAGTTCTTGTCCTGCTCCTGCTGTGCAGCTCCTCCCTCACAGCCTGGTACAGCCTCCTTGCTCCTGGGGCCTGTGCTGTGCACCCCAGGGTGGGGATGGAGCCCAGGATGGGGATGGAGCCCTGGGTGGGGATGGAGCCCTGGGTGGGGATGGAGCCCAGGACAGGGATGGAGCCCTGGGTGAGGATGGAGCCCTGGGTGGGGATGGAGCCCAGGACAGGGATGGAGCCCTGGGTGGGGATGGAGCTCAGGACGGGGATGGAGCCCAGGACAGGGATGGAGCCCTGGGTGAGGATGGAGCCCTGGGTGGGGATGGAGCCCTGGGTGAGGATGGAGCCCTGGGTGAGGATGGAGCCCTGGGTGGGGATGGAGCCCAGGACAGGGATGGAGCCCAGGATGGGGATGGAGCCCTGGGTGAGGATGGAGCCCTGGGTGAGGATGGAGCCCAGGACAGGGATGGAGCCCAGGACAGGGATGGAGCCCAGGATGGGGATGGAGCCCAGGATGGGGATGGAGCCCAGGACAGGGATGGAGCCCAGGATGGGGATGGAGCCCAGGATGGGGATGGAGCCCAGGACAGGGATGGAGCCCAGGATGGGGATGGAGCCCAGGATGGGGATGGAGCCCAGGACAGGGATGGAGCCCAGGATGGGGATGGAGCCCAGGATGGGGATGGAGCCCAGGACAGGGATGGAGCCCTGGGTGAGGATGGAGCCCTGGGTGAGGATGGAGCCCTGGGTGAGGATGGAGCCCAGGACAAGGACAGCTGGAAAGGAGAGAGCTGGACCCAGCTCGGGGTGCCTGATCCTGCTGGGCATTCCCAAGGGCTGGCACTGCCCATCTCCATCCTTCCTCTTGGAACCTGAGAGCAGGGATCTCTGCAGGCTGGGGGCCCAGCAGAGGGGCTGGCAGGGGCCGTGCCCAGCAGAGGGGCTGGCAGGGCCGTGCCCAGCAGAGGGGCTGGCAGGGGCTGGCAGGGCTGGCAGGGGCCGTGCCCAGCAGAGGGGCTGGCAGGGCCGTGCCCAGCAGAGGGGCTGGCAGGGGCTGGCAGGGCTGGCAGGGGCCGTGCCCAGCAGAGGGGCTGGCAGGGCCGTGCCCAGCAGAGGGGCTGGCAGGGCTGGCAGGGGCCGTGCCCAGCAGAGGGGCTGGCAGGGGCTGGCAGGGGCCGTGCCCAGCAGAGGGGCTGGCAGGGGCTGGCAGGGCTGGCAGGGGCCGTGCCCAGCAGAGGGGCTGGCAGGGCCGTGCCCAGCAGAGGGGCTGGCAGGGGCTGGCAGGGCTGGCAGGGGCCGTGCCCAGCAGAGGGGCTGGCAGGGGCCGTGCCCAGCAGAGGGGCTGGCAGGGCTGGCAGGGGCCGTGCCCAGCAGAGGGGCTGGCAGGGCCGTGCCCAGCAGAGGGGCTGGCAGGGGCTGGCAGGGCCGTGCCCAGCAGAGGGGCTGGCAGGGGCTGGCAGGGGCCGTGCCCAGCAGAGGGGCTGGCAGGGGCCGTGCCCAGCAGAGGGGCTGGCAGGGCTGGCAGGGGCCGTGCCCAGCAGAGGGGCTGGCAGGGCTGGCAGGGGCCGTGCCCAGCAGAGGGGCTGGCAGTTTCACCCCCAGTGAAAGCTGCTGAGATTCACATGCTCTGTGCTGGAGAGAGCACCTGGCAGTCTTGGGAGCATTTACAGAGCCATGGAATGCCCTGAGCTGGAAGGGATCTGTCCAGCCCATCCTTCAGCCCTGTTTTGTTTGTGTGGGGATGAGAACAGAGCCCAGCTCTTGGGCTGATTCATCCCCTCTCCCACAGGAGCACAAACTGTCCCCAGCCTCGGCTCTGCGTGTTCCAGGTCTGGCTGCAGCAATGGGACATCTGTGCCCAGGGAGGGGACATTCCCTCCCCAGGGGACGTGTGGGCCTGGCACAACCCCAAGGAGCAGGAATTGTGCTCAGGGAGTCACCGGAAGGGACTTGTGACACCCCTGCCATGGCAGGGACACCTCCCACTGCCCCAGGCTGCTGCAAGCCCCAGTGTCAGCCTGGCCTTGGGCACTGCCAGGGGTCCAGCTGGACTGGGTGTCCCAGCCCTGGCGTGTGTGAGGCTCTCTCTGTGTGTGCAGGAAGGGCTCAGAGCTGGGCTGAGCTGCTGTGTTGAATTCTGGGGGCACTGGAAAGCAGCAGTGCCAGTCCTGGGGCAGCAGGATTCCCAGGGGGATGGAGCTCAGGCATTCCTGGCAAAGCAAGGGCAGAGGGCATGGCCACTGCTCAGGTTCTCCTGGCTCCAGCCCTGTCTGGAAACTCCATCCTGGCAAATCGTGGCTCAGGGAAGGCTGGAAGGAGCTGGAGAAGCTGCTCCTGCATGGGAAGGGATCTGGAACTTTCTGTAACAGAATTCCAGTGAACTGCAGCTCCTGGTGTGTACACTGGTGTGTGCTGGGGAGTTGAGGATGCTTCCACCCAAGTTCCAGATTCTCACCTGCTCAGGTTCAGCCTGACTGTGGAGCCAGCTCAGGTTCAGTCTGACTGTGACTGTGGGCTGTTTCCCCTCCCTGGGTGTCTGTGCTGGCAGTGCTGGCAGTGATGCTGCTGCTGTCCCAGGGCCTTGCCAAGGGTTTCTGTCACCCCTGGGATGCCCAGGGCAGCAGAGTCCCCTCCAAGGGCAGGAGGGCTCAGCTCTGCTCCAGGCCCAGGGACAGCTGCTGAGCCGAGTGGGATGAGCAGCTCTGCTGTGGGACCAGAGCAGGAGGGGACTCTGGATTCTCTGAGCTCTCAGTCCTGGCCCATGGCTCAGTGTGGAGGGGAAGGGGGCTCCTTGTGTGAGCCTGGCCCTGCTGGTTTGGGACCCTCCAGGAGCTGGGAACACGGAATGCTGGAGTGGTTTGGGCTGGAAGGGACCCTGAGGATCATCCAGTGCCACCCCTGCCATGGCAGGGACACCTGCCACTGTCCCAGGGTGCCCCAAGCCCCAGTGTCCAGCCCGGCCTTGGGCACTGCCAGGGATCCAGGGGCAGCCCCAGCTGCTGTGGGTGTCCCCAGGTCATGATCCAGTGTCACAGCAGTGGCCCCACAGGCAGCCCTCGGCCCCAGAACACGGGGGTTTGTCCCTGGCATTCCCTGTGCCAGGTGTCAGTGTGGCAGCTCAGCTCTTGGACACGAGGGCACCCGGAGGAGCTCCAGGGCCCCGGGGTCCGTCAGACCCCGCAGGGCCGGGCAGGATTTGCTTTCCCAGGAGCCGAGATTGCCGCTGCCATCCCCTCCCGTCCCTGCACCCTTCCCTCGCCGTGGTACTGACCCGTGCCCGCGTTGTCATTGCAGGAGGGCGGCGCGGAGCCGGCGCAGCTCCCGGCGGCCAACGGAGCGGGGCCGGAGCCGGGCGCGCTGCCCGCGGCCCCCGCGCTGCGGGAGAACGGCGTGGGGCCGGCCCTGGCCGCCCTCGGCACCGCCGACCAAAGGGAAATGCAGAGCCTCGACACTCACATCCAAGAAACAAGTAAGCGCCGGGGCCCCGCCCGGGGCCGGGGGGAGGGAGCCCGGCAGCCCCGGGCGCGGCGGCGTCGCTGCCACCGCAGCCCCCGACCGCTGCCAGCGACGTCTGCGGGGTTGTCGTGCCTTGCTTTTAATTCAGAAAATTGCCTTTTATCTTCCAGGCATCTAATGATGACATTATGGTATCGTCTTCCATTCCCCTCCTGTCCCTTGTCTCCTCCTCTCCCCGCGTCCCCTTGTCCCCTGCCCTTGTGTCGCTGCAGATTGAGTCTCACAAGCTGACGTTCCGTGCGAAGGCCAAGGCTCGAACAGACCACGGAGCGGAAATCGTCGTCTCCAAACCCCCCACCCTTTCCAGCAGCACCTGCCCCCGGCGTAGCACCTCCGCCAGCGACAGCCTGGGCTCCGTCGCCTCCCCGTCACCGTCACCGCCGCCGGCCGCGCCCTCCCAGCAAGGCTTGTGACCCCCGGCCCCGCTCCGCGCCCCGGGGACCCCAGCTTGGCCCTCTTAACCCGGCTCTGCCTTTAGGGGGAAGGGGCCGATGCTCCTCGGGCCCGCCCGGGCTGGGGTCCCTCGGCGGCCGGGCAGGGCTCCCCTCCCTCCTTCTCCCCCTGTCCTGCCCTCCCGCCGGCCCGGGACTCCCGGGGGTTGCTGCGCCTCGGGGCCGGCCCGAGCGGCTCCGGCTGTGCCAGGGCAGGGCAGAGCAGAGCCCTGGCTCTGGGGCCAGGCCGAGTTAACAGGGATAAGCTGTGATCTTTCTTTCTGTCTCTCTTTTTAACCCCTTCCCTCCTCGCCGCTTCAGTTTCTGCCGCCTGTGGGATGCTGATAAATCCCCTCCACACTCGTTAGGCTGTTTTAACTGTTGACTTGAACCTTTTATTCTTTGTGACGAAGTGTTGATGATTTATCGTGTTCGAAGCCGTGCTAAGTTTCCTTTTCTCTTTCCTTCTTTTCCGACCCGTAGGAGAGTAGGGACATTTAACCGCTGCTGCCGTGCTGGCTTCTTACTGACATATCCAGCCGTTGTAACTTCTTTGTTGTTGTTTGGGGTTTTTTCTTTTTAATATTTTAAAACGATGGAGCGAGTTCATGGGATTAAGCCATGTCCGGAACGAAAGGCACAGGAATGTGTAAAGGGCGAACTTGCTGTGAGAGCTCAGGTGGAGCCTGTGTTGACCTCGAGATGTGTAATTGATGCTCGAGATGTGTTAATTGACGCTCTCGAGCCCTCCGCGGGTGCCTTCTGCCGAGGTGGTTTATGGTTTATTTATTAGCGGCACGGCCGAGCCCCGGGATTTGTCCCGTTTTCCGGGCCGAGGCCGGAGGGAGCAGGAGGCGGCCGCGGCGGGGGCGGGAGGGCGCGGGCCGGGAGTTGCGAGGCTGCCGCAGGTCCGTGGGGGTGTGGGCAGTGCGGGGTGTGCGGTTTTGGGGTGGTGCAGGGGGACCCGAGCGAGCCGGGATGAGCAGCGCCGAGCGGGCAGCAGGAGCAGGGAGCTCATCCCGGGGGCAGCAGGGCAGGGGTGGTGCCAGGCAGGTGCAGCTCTGACTGGGAAGGAGATCTAACCACTCTTGGAGCTCCTCGTTTCAAATGACACTAAAGGAACGAAATGTAAATAAATTAAAACAAAAGAAAAGAAAAGTGTTCTTGGGTGGTCGAACTAATTTAAAGAAAAAAAAATAAGAGGCAAGCAGAATAACAAAACACTGGGATCAAAGAGAACTGAACCAGGCGTGTGCTAAGGGGGGCTGCTCCAGAAGGGGACAGAGGGAAGCCTGCAGCTTCTCGTGCTTGTGGGAGTATTTCTTTGGGAAGCCAACAACGACACGATAACCCGGAATCTGTATTTACACACAAAGATTCTTATTGCACTTGTATTTTTTATATTAAAGTTTGCATGGTTTCTAATAAAATGGCATTAAAATGTACTAGTTTGCATCAAAGTCGTCTGGTAGTTTCATAAGTGCTTTTTCATCTGAATACAAATTTAAACGATGCAGATTTGCACCTGAAAGGGGCGGTTATATATACCCAGAGACCTCCCAGTGCTTCCCTTCCTCTTCCTCCTCCTCCTCCTTTTCCTCCTCCTCCTCCCCACCTCCCCACTCCCTCCGCATCCCTGTGACCCCAGCGGGGCAGGCGGCCGTGCCGTCGCTCCGTGCCCTCCCTGTGTGTCCCTGTGTGTCCCCGGCGTTCCCGGAGCAGGAGCTGGAGCCGGCCCCGCGCCCCGGAGCCCCGCTCGATCCCCGTGTGCCGGTATATATCACTGCCCTCCCGTGACGCTTCCTTCTTTCTTTACTGCTAAATTCTACACACCAGCTTCAGCTTGGCAGCCTTGCCTTTGCTTTGGTCGATTTTTTTTTTTCCAACACTTGAATTGAGGGAGAATTAGGAGAGGAGAGGAGCAGGGTGAGCCCCTCGGCAGGACGGTGAGCCTGGAGCCTCTGTTCCCAGCCTGTGACCAGCCGGGGTGGCCTCGGCAGGGCTGGAGTCGAGCTCCAGGCTCACCGGCCGGGAGAGGCGCTGAGAGCAGCGTTTGTGAGCTGGCGGCAGCCGGAGATGTGCGGGGGCAACCAAAGAGGAGGTGCAGGCTGAGATGTCTTGTTCCTCTTGCTGCTCTTCCTGGGGCACCCCAGGGACGGTGGCCTGGGATGTCCCGGGATGGGATTCCCTGGATACCCCGGGATGACATTCCCTGGATACCCCGGGATGACATTCCCAGGGTGCCCCGGGATGACATTCCCGGGGTCCCTCAGGATGGTATTCCCAGGGTGCCCAGGTGAGGCCCCGGGCAAAGGGAAGCAGCCCGGTCCCGGTTCAGGGACTGCAGGAGGAAAGCAAATGGCAACATTGCACTTTATCTTCTGAGATTGCAAAAAGCAAACAGCCCTGCCCCGCTGCAAAGGGACAGAGACATCACCTTCTCCCTGCACTGCTTTTCTCCGATTCCCGATGATTCCCCGAGCGCCGGGCGGCCCTGGCCGGGCGCGGTGGCTGCGTGCGGTGCCCAGGCTGTCCCTGCCCAAACCCCGGCCCAGCTCACCCCCGGCCCGTGCCTCTGTGCCACTTCTCTAACACTTGTTGTGCCTGTGTTTAGCTGATTAACTAAATCCAGATACACTAGTTTGCCGTGGTGTTTCTAGGACAGCTTCAGTTTTAATACGGATTTGTTTTTTAACTTTATTTTGAGAAAGCGGCTGTACATATTGCTAGGCTGGGAAGGAGCCGTGTGTGGTGGGAATGACTTTAGTTTCCTGTCTGGAGAGGTGGGATGAGCTGGGTAGTGCTGAGACCTTAACGCTGCTGGGGAAGGGGCTGCGGGCGCCAGTGGCTCCATCGAGGGGTGGAGGCAGCGAATCCGGGGGGAAACAGGAGCTGAGCTCTGAATGAGATGCAAGTTGAATGTACACGTTCCTGTCCCGAGCTGGCGCCAGGGGTCCTGGCTTTGGCCGCACTGGGGGCACTGTGGGCTGGGCAGGGGCTGAGCGGGGCCAGGCTGGTGGCTGGCTCCGGGCAAGATGCTCGGCAAAGGCCTTCGCAGAGCTCAGGGCTCGGAGCGGCGCTCTGGAGGGGCTGAGCTGCCGCAGGGCTGGGGGGAAGCGGCGGGGCCGGGTGCGAGCTCCACCCCGGCGGGGCCGCCCTTCCTCCGGGCAGCCGGAGCCTCCCCCGGCCGTCAGCCGCCGGAGCCCGGCGCCTCTCGGCATATCAGTGGCATCCACAGTTCTTTGGGCTTTTTGTACTGTTAAACAGCAACATTCGAGTAACCGAGTTGGTGGGCTCGAGGCCGCGGCCGCCCCAGCGTGGCTCCCGCTCGGCTCCCGGCCGCAAACTGAATGTAGTTTTCTACGCTGCCCCTCGCGCTGTCCCCGCGTAGTGTGGTGTGTGAGAGGGGCCCCGGGCCTCGCGTGTTCGTGTCTAGGCAGAATTCCTACTTTTCTTGGAGCTTGGTGTCGGTCCTTGGGGTGACGGGGCTCCCCTCAGGGCAGGACCGAGTCCCCGCGGAGCCGCGACCCCGCTGAGGCCGAGCGGCCGCACTGGGGCTCAGCAGCCTCAAGGCTTGGAGAAATGTCCCCGAGGCCGAGCGGCCTCCAGGCTGAGGGAAAATGTCCCCAAAGGCCAGGGGAAATGTCACCCAAGGCCAAGTAGCCTCGAGGCTGAGGGGAAATGTCCCTCAAGGTTGAGTCACCTCCAGGCTGAGGGGAAATGTCCCCCAAGGCCGAGTGACCTCCAGGCTGACGGGAAATGTCCCTCAAGGCTGAGTGGCCTCCAGGCTGAGGGCAAATGTCCCCCAAGGCCGAGCGGCCTCCAGGCTTGGAGGAATGTCCCCTGAGGCCGAGTCGCCTCCAGGCTGAGGGGAAATGTGCCCCAAGGCCTCGTGGCCCGCGGACCCGGCGGGTGGGACGGAGGAGGCTCCGGGCGGCAGCAGCAGCAGCAGCAGCAGCATGGAAAGGGCTCTGAGGGGCTCCGGCTCTCCCTCCTCCCTCCCCGCCTGAGCCCCAGCCCGGCAGCGCTCACCTTCCGCCCTCCTCGCGCGGGTCCCGCCGGCCGAGATCATACACGAGGCCGCAGCGCCCCTCGCCGTCCCCGCCCGGCCGCCCGCAGCCCCCGCTGTCCCTCACGCTGAGCACCAGGAGCGAGCGCAGTGACCGCGGGCTGGGGCGTGCGGCCGGGCAGGAGGGCTCGGGGCAGCGCCCCGGAGGGCGATCCCGGCCCTCGGCTCCCTTGGGAAGCCACTCAACCTCTCTGCCTCAGTTTCCCCATCTGCAAAGGTGGGGGGGATTCAATTTTACCTCACCGGGCTGTTGTGAGGCGCGAGCAGCGCGTGACGTGTTCTCTAAATGTGACGTGTTATTATTATTTTGTGTCATAGGATTATTGGATTATTCTGCAGGGCGTGCCCGAGGAGGGGGACTCCGCGGTCCCTGCGCCGTGGTGGGGAGGCGAGGGCTGTGAGGGGAGGTCAGTGCTCCGTGTGAGGCAGCAGATCAGGGGGGAGCCCAGCGGTTGCTTCTGCCTTTGTGTCTCCCCGCCCCGGGGGCTGTACGAGCGTCGTCTCCTTAGCAACATTTCCTGACTTGATGTTGTGATTCTTACTATTGTAAAGGGTTGAAATAAAGCTTCTAGATGTTCCTCCTCAGGCTGCTGTGGCTCTGTGGGACGGGAGGGCCGGGCAGGGGGCGCTAGCACAGCCTGGGGCTCCTGATGTGGGGCTGGCTAAGCAGGGGACTGAAGGAATTTGGGTGCTTGATTTCAGCCACAGGAGAATTCCCATCCCTGGCTTTGCTCTGCAAGCCTGGGCTCGGAGGGGACGGGGCTTTGGGCTGACGTGGCACAGCTGGCACAGCCAGAGGTACCAGGAGGTGCCCCTGGCCACTCACACAGATAAAGGTTTCCCACCCTGGCTTGGACCTGACCCGAGACCCCAAACAGGACTGGGAGCCAAGTCCCAGGGCCCCGTGCCTGGAGCAGCTGCTCCTGCGCCCTCCTTGAGTGCTGCTGTGGAAACAGCCCCAGCACCATTGACCCTCAGCTGCCCCAGACACGGGAGCACTGGGACAGCCTGGGTTGGCCTCCTCGCGTGTGGGCACCTCTGGGCCACGCTCGGTTTCTCCAGGCAGCAGCAGCACCAGGCCTTGTCCCCCCAAACACCCTCCCTCAGTGCCAGCCCCCTGTGCTCCCTGTCCCCTCAGTGTGGCTGGGGTCGGTGTGGGGGCACAGCATGGCCCTGCAGCCCCTCACTGCCCCACAGCCCCAGGGCAGCTCTGCACTTCTCCCAGCAGAGGAGCAGCTGTTGCTGTTCTTCCCTACCCAGGGAAAGGCACAACATTCCAACCTTTGCAGGAGAAAAAAAAAAGGAAAAAAAGAATGAAGAGGACAGAGGCAGTTCCTACTCTATCCCTTTTTATTGTCTTTAATCTATGTTGTAAAAAGATCCAGTATCACATAACAGCCACGGAAGTATCCCAATATCACACTAGTTCGGAACCATTTAGACAATAGCTTAGTCTTTTTTTTTTTTTGTATTTTTTTTTCTTTTTTTTTTAAACCTGCTGGAAGGGAAAACCATACTGCCCATTATACAGGCCAAAAGAAACAAACACTGGTCAAATAATAGTGACAACCTCAAGCAAGTGAAATGAAGATGAGCAGTTTGGAGTGACCCCAGGCTGCAGGACTCCAAGGGCCCCCCACGGCCGGGGGCAGCGGGGCCTGGGAAGGGCCCCCCGGGCCTTGTGCTGGCACAGCCACGGTGCCCTAAAGCCCATGAGCAGGAACGTAAATGGTAGAACTGGGAGAACCAAAGGGTGGCCCCGGGGCAGGAGCCCCTGTGCCATGGAAACGGCCTCACTCCCATTCCTGGCTGCAGGTACAAAGAGCGTAAGAAATGGGAATAAAAAGAAAGGAGCCCGGGCCCGGGGGGCACAGCCCTGGGCCCGAGGGCTCCCGTTACAAACCCCGACCCTCACAACAGCCCTGTGAGGTAGGTCACTGTCTTCTTCGGACAGAGAATCCAAGGCAAAGCTGGGATTAAACTCCAGATTCCTCAGTGAGTGCTGTGCCTGTCGCAATCCTCCTTCCACAGAAATATGGTCCCTGTTCATAGAAAACAAAGGATTTTGTGCCTCTGCTCCTGGCTTCCCGCAGGAGCGGCGCTCACAGGCAGCCTGGCAGCTACAATCACGTCCTGTGTTGCACAAGGGACAGGGATCCGGCCTCCTCCACGTGGGGAGAACAGGAATTAAAAAAAAATCATAGGAACAACGCAAGAGGACGAGAAGTACAGGCAGGTTGGGAAGGACGAGTCACATCTCACACTCAGACGCCACGACTGTGCAGGGGCTGGCAGGGCCCCTCGGATCCCGCGTGGAATTCCTCTCCATCCGGCGCTTTCGGGGCTTCCTCCATGCGGAGAGCGGAGAGACAACGATCAGCGATCCCCTCCCTGCCGGAGCTGCTGCATCCGCCATCCTGGCACAGCCGGGACATCCGTGCTCCTCTTGGGCCCGGAGCAGCTCTGGCCCCGTGGGGAGGGGGCAGAGGAGGGCCCGCAGCAGCCGTGGCCTTGCTCCCGGTCAGGGACGGGCGGAGGAGGCGGGTGGGCGTCCACGAGCCGGGGTCCGTCGGCACTCCCAGTCCATTCCCGGCGGGACTGCGCTGCTCTTCCCACGCGGTGACCATGCACGGAGCCGACAGCAGGAGATTCAGACAACATTAATCTTCTAGGATGGAGAGAGATGACTTCACAAGGGATAAATAGAACTTTATTTAAATAAACATTTGTGAACATCTTTATACAAATTACAAGTCCCCACACGAGGCTGCAGCTCCGCCTACGAGCCGAAGCTGCCGGGAGGGCCCTTGAGCAGATCCACCAGGATGTCGAGCAGTTGGCTGTGCTGGTGGTGCAGGTCCCCGGGGATCGCGGCCATCTCGTAGCACAGGCACGTCTCCACCATCTTGGAGAGGGACACGCGGAAGTCGCGCAGCAGGCGGATGGTGTAGGAGTCCCCCTCCAGCACCAGCAGGTCGCTGTCCGTCAGGGACACCGTCGCTCGCCAGCCGTCATCTTGGGGGGAGGGAGAGCGTGTGAGGGGAAAACGGGGCTGCTGGGGCTCCTCTGCTGCCCCCGAGGCAGCGACTCCCCACACTCCTTTGAGCCGGTCCAGGGACTCAGCTGGGCCGACAGCTCCACAAAAGCCAGGCAGCTCTGAGCACACACTGGGATCCTCCTGCTTTCCCACAGGAGGTGACTGATGGCATAGCCCTGCTGAGCTCGTGGGCTAGAGACCGACTGCAGCACTGCCAAAACCCCACAGGCTGGACAGACACATCCCCAGGGACAAGTGGGATCCTGCCAGCTCAGCTCCTTCCCCCAGAACGATCAGGCACAGCCCTAAGGCTCAGCCTGCCGGGGCTGGCTTTGTCTCCCTGCAGAGCAGCAGCTGGGAACAGCTCACAAACCATCACCTCTATGGCCCTGCCACCAATGCATGCCCAGCCCGAGAGCCTTGGGAAGCGGGAACTGGGCCCAGGGAGCAGCTGGAGCAGGCTGGGCACCCGAGCACTCACCTCGCACGTGGATGTCGGTGTCAGTCATGAGCAGCACGGCCAGCGGGTGCACCTGCGACGAGTCGCGCACGAAGACGCCGCCGTTGGACTTGACGGCCATGAAGTAGGTGAGCCAGCGGCTGTAGAGCTTGGACGCCTCCCTGCAGGAGCAGCTCTGTCAGCCTGGCCAGGCCCTGGCACAGCCGCTGCCCCGTGGGACCCCTCCCCATCACCCACCTGTTGATGGTGGACTTGTGCAGCAGCACGGTGCCGGCCTTGGTCCGGTACGCGTAACTGTTGGGCTTGAACTTCCCCTGGCGTGTCACCTTGCCTTGTCTCACCTGCCACGGGAGGGGACTGTCACACACCTGCACCAGCCCTGAGAGCCACAGCCACCCTCTGACAGGGGGAGGGGGATGATGTCCCTGCACTCCCAGCAGCTCCAGGGGTTAGTGGAGTGTGTTCCTGGGGTGACTACACCTGGCAATCACCCAGTGCCAGCAGAGACAAAAGGAGGAGAAAAATGCCACCTCAGGCAGTAAACAGGAGATAAATGCCACTTCAATGGCTCCCAAACCCAGTGATAAGAACCTAAACATGGACCTAACACAATCTGGGGTGGCCACTCCTCGTGAATGGGGATCAGGGACAGCACTGGAGCACAGGCCGGAGCCCAGAGCAGGACGCCCGGCTTGGACACTCACTGCCAAGAGAGCAGAAGCTTCTCTGGCACCTCAGCACTTCAGTGCCACCTGCTGTGACAGCCAACCCCAGAGAGCAATGGCAGTGCAGTACCTGGATGAGGTTGGGGTAGAGCCCAGCCATGAGGACACCCTTGACCAGTTCCTCCTCCTCACTGTACTGGTTACACACGGACGAGGGCATGGTACAGTCAGACGGGGATGACACCAGGAAGGCTTCGTAGAGGTTCTCAGAGAACTGCTTGACAAGGCCTGGAGGGAGGAGACAGCCCCAGCGATGAGATTCACCCTCTCCTTTCCCCCATGGAATGAGTCACCTGAGCAGGGCAGCACCAGCCCGGGCTGGGGCAGGAGCCCTGTCCTGGGCCAAAGCCAGCCCCTGCCTGGTCCCGCAGTCACCAGCCCAGCACGGCCCATTTGTGCCCCGTGTCCCTCCCTGCACAGCACCCGCCTGGGCCAGGGAGGGGCAGGGTGGCTCAGAACTCACCGTTGATGAAGCGCAGGCTGGGCCCGTACAGGTAGTAGTCCTGCAG